GAAGCAGCAGCAGAGGGGTCCTGCCTCCATGTTCCAGCTACACAATCTTGGGCCAATTACTGAAACTCTTGGAGCCATGGTTTTTGTATTATAAAATGGGATCCCACTCCTTGTCAGGCCTACCTCACCAGTTGATTATGAGGAACAGCTGAGATAGTCTAAGTGCAATCAATACTGAAACTGTAAAGAAATATTCAAATGGAAGGCATTATTATTAACTTTGCCTGAATACCAGACATTAATAAATAGAACATTTTCCATTTCAAATGTGTTAAATCTGCACAGCAGGAAGCCAGGCTCACCCTAGATTTTAATAAGGAAATACTTCTAATTCAGACTTCTAATTCAGACTTAAACAAACAAAACTTAGGTCTTTAGAAACATTTATTCTAATATGTAATTTTAAGTGATTTTCTGTGTAGAATGGAAATCGACCATACGATTACTGGCTGAGTTAATGATAAATCGAGAAACCTGAATTTATTAGCAGTAGCCTTTGTTTTTATTGAAGTTACTTTTGCTTTACACATTTTATGTAATTGTCAAATAATCAGAAGTACTGGGAGAAACATCCTTTTTTAAAATGTACTTTTTCTTTTTAAGTTCTCCCTCTAGAAATTGGAAAAGGAAAAAAAAAAGCTTTTCATAGTTGAGACTCCCTCCTATTACTGTCAATAGCAGTTAAGTGCATTTATAGAGACACAAGGCAGCACAAAGATTCTTCTGTAATTCATCAGAAGGCCTATCTTAAGTATAATTACATTACACAGCCCCGCTCAGTCATTAGCTTCTTGTTTAGCGACAATGTCCTTCATTTTAAATCCTTTGATGGTAGTTATTTCTAACTATGCCCTTGAATTCTGAAAGCATGTGTACCACAGCCTTGGTGAACAACGAGGTATTTCTGGACTACGATGCAATTGGTTTCCCATAAGAGATCATACAGGAAATGGTCTGCAACAACGCTGAAAATTCGCAAAAGGTTTCTGAGCTTGAGCTGCAAGTGGAAATGAGGTGTGTGGTTATGCGTGTGTGTGCACGCACGCAATAAAAGCTAAAAGCAAGTCGTTAGGTATAAGGCATGATTTTCTTAACCTTTAATGACAATGTCATACTGTAAAGTTTTAGACATTGCTTAAAGTAAGGCACACTAACACATATCATAGACTGACCTGAAAGTGAGATATCTTTGAGATATTTTAGTTCCACCAGTCTTCTTTGTGCATAAAAATGTTTTGTGTTTGTGTACCTGTTCATTTACTGAGCAGCCATACGTGCCGGGAACTGTTTAGACGCTGAGAGCACAGGCCCTGAGAGGGTCGGTGCCCTACGAGGGCTCACAGGCCAGCGGCAGGGGAACAAAGAATGAAATGCAAATAACTTGTATACGCCAGGCCTGTGAGAAATAGTGGATCACAGTAATGTTAATTAGCATCCCAGCTTGTCACCCTCAGATCCTCCTCAAAGCCCGGAGTCTCCAGGGACGTCCTACAGTGTTGTTACTGCTCCCCTTGGAACTTACCCTCCTCTATCCCTCTGCTCTGCAGTGCACTGGCAACAACATAGACTGTGCTGTGAATACGAAGACCAGCCACCCAGTCTGGGTCTCCCCAGGAGAGGGCATGCCTTCTAGATGCTTCACGTGGACTCCAGCAAACTCTGGCATTGGGTCCTGTTGTTGACTGCAGCTCTGCAGCGTGTCACACCACTCTGTCATCCTTGTCTTTTCTTCCCCACTTCCCTCTCCCGGCTTTTGTTCTCTTAAGCTCTTTTGAAAGCCACATTTATATTCTTCACATATGGGAAGTATTTTTAGTTAAAACTAAAAACTTGTAATGTGTTCCTAGGAAAAGTGATTTGCTAAGGAAGGCTGGCTTCAACGTGAAGGAAAAGCTTTCAGTAGGCAACAAAACAAAAATCCCACAAACCACTCTGGCCACACTGTAATTCTTATTCATAAAAGCTAAATATACTCGTACTTTACATGTGTTCATTTAATAAAGTCTCCTTTCCCAGTGCAAGAAGGTGAGTATTGGAGTCATTAAAATTTTTATTATCAAGATACACATGGTTATAGAAATACATGTAGACATTTACATTTTCCTAAAACACTGGCTTTATAGTAAGAATCAGAATTATTTTCTTAGAGATTAGCCCTCTGGTCAGGCGGCACAAAGAGAACACTGTAGAAACTGTGTTTGCAGAGTGCCTGTTATCTGCAAGGCATCGCGCTAGGGGCTTTATACACCATGCTTCTTTCACTGGATCCTTACGACCAACCCTAGGAGCAGGATTATCCCATTGACAGAGGGGGAGACTGAGGCCCAAAGGTTAAGCATCTTGCCAAAGGTCTTTCAGCCCTTCTAGCAGGCTGCTCTTCGCTGTCGAGATGCCAGAGGACTCCTTGGGTTCGTTCCCACGTTCCTTGCTGCATCTGTGTTTTCCTTTTTCTATACAGCAGCAGGAACCCAAGGTCAGGTGTGGGTTGGATATGAGTGGTCTGAGAGAATGACCAGCACCCAGGGCTGGTCACCCACAGCATGAACATTGTAACTAAAAATCAGGTGGTGGGGCTGAATTCCTCTCCAGCTGTTACAAGGGGGCGACCCCCAAGCTTTGCACCTAGACAGATTTGGGTTTGAATCTTGTCTTGACTGCTACCTGAGGGACTCTGGGCAAGCTGTTTATCTTTTCTGAGCCTCAGCTTTCTCAACTAGAACATGAGGTTAATGCTGCCTACCTCTCAGCGCTGGAGAAAGGATTGCAGAGACTATACAAGAAGGACTTGGCAAATAGTTGGTAATCATTCATTCTCCTACCTCTCCGTTCCTCGCCATGCACAGCTACTGCATTCAACACTGTTCTTCATGAGCAGGCCCAGGCCTGCCCCAGTTGCTGAGTCAGTGCTGATTAGCTGAGCACCTTAAGCCTGTCTGACCGTGGTCCTGACATCTTCCCTCCATCCTGCTGGATCGGACTTCTCCTCTGAGGTGCTGAATCCCACTCGCCAGTCCTTCTCATCCCCAGCCCAAGCTCTCGCTGGGGTCTAGATGAATGGACTGGGCTTCCCCCTGCTGCTAGGCCTGCTGAATTGGACACCCACACCTACCTTTACCCTACGCCATCCCCAAGATCTCTATATCCTTTGGATACTGTAGAATGCTATTGTAGAGCTGGCCTTTGCAACTGGGTGTGGTCATCCTACTCAGTAATTTTCACTGTTATTATTCTGAGCATCTCTTAGGTGCTAGGCCCTGCAAAGAGACAGGCATGGTCCATAAAATTGAGCTAAGTGCTTTATATATATCACCTCATTTATCTTCATTATAATCCTGTAAAGTAGGTACTATTAGTATTAGCCTTAGGAAGGTTAAGGGCCTTTCTCCAAGTCACACAGATAGTAAGAGGTAAAGCCAGGCCTATGATCCCAAGCCAGGCTCACAGCCATTACACCACATTGCTTTTCATCCCACCTGTCAACTCTCCACTGCCTCCACTTTTCTGACTGCTGTGCTTCATGGCAGCAAGTGTCTTCTTTGATTGTGGCACCTCTCACAATGTACTACGGTCCATGTACTTGTCTCCATCTCACTTAGACTGGGAGCTCCCTGAGGGCACGGACCTTGTTTTATTGATCCCTATACTCCAGTGCTTACCACAGAATAAGTACTTCAAAAGATGTTTCGCTGACTGAGTTGTATTGGCTTTTTCTTTTCTACCTGCTGACTTATGTTGCTGAAGTCCCATATGTCCTCTATCTAGCTCTAGATTCAACACCAACAGTTACTCTTGGGTCTGAAATGGTGTGTGAGTGTGTGTGTGTGTACATATGTGTACCTCTGTGTGTGTTTATGTGCTTGTTATGATAGCAACTGTAGTTTTTTTCCAAACACTTGTCTACATCAAAAGCTTTTAGCCATCATGTTTCTTTAGTTTCCTTTCATCTGGAAACTTTCCATAGTCTCTTTTTCTTTATGACATATACATTTTTGAAGAATATAGTCCATTAAAAAAATAGAATGCTGCCCATTTTGGATTTGTCTGCTGTTTCCTTGTGATTAGATTCAGGCCATGCGTTCCCAGCCAGAATGATGCTGTGTCCTTCTCAGCCACCACATCTGGAGGCACATCATGTCCATCTGCCCATCTGAAGTTAATTTTCATCGCCCAATCAAGATGTTGTCCTATTCTTCCCTGTATAGTTAACATTCTTTATCCTCTTGTAACTAATAAACAATCTGGAGGAAACAATTTTAAAACCATGCATACATCCTGTTACTCATAAAAATTCCCTCCTGGATCCATTGATGATTCTTGCCTGTACCTATCTTCAATATGATGATTACAAGATGACGATTCTGCAACTAAATGCAATATCTGATTCTAGACTAGATCTTGTAGAGGAGGGAAAAAATGCCATAAAGGACATAATTGAGTTATTGACAAAATTGGAATATGAATGGCAGATTAAATAAAAGTGCTATATAAAAGTTAAGCCTACTAAAATTTACTCTCAAATGACTTATAAAAATTCATGTGTGTGTATATACATATATATGTGTGTACATACACATACATACACATATATACACACGTGTATACATACATATATGTGTGTGTGGAGAGAGAACGTACAAATGATAAAGCAAATGGGTAAATGTTAGGAGATACAAGTTAGGTACGTGGGTGTTCCTTGTATTATTCCTATTCTTGCAACTTTTCTGTAAGTTTGAAATTAGTTCCAAATAAAAAGTTAATAACAAGCTTTTAGCCACCTATAGACTAAACATTAGACGTCCCACCTAAAGCCATGTCAGTCTTTCATTTAACGGCTGACACTGAATCAATTCACATGTACAAGCTTCCCCTGGACTGAATGATCCCCAAGGTGTAGCCCTGTAGGAGAGCCTGTGACCTTACATGACCCTTCTATCCCCATGATGGTACCTGTGGAAACTACCAAGTAAATACTGGTGGTATTGTGAACCGGAAGACTTGAGTTCTGGTGGCACATGTCTCAGTTTTCTTTATTAAAAGGCAATACAGAAATGATGAAATGATACCTAAAAGGTCTTGAACATAAGATGAGATGACAGAGGTCCCTGATGCAACAACACAGAACCTTCTGGCATCGGCTCTGTCTAGTCCCCTTTCATGATCGCTGCATACTCCTTCTGGTGTTCAACCAGCTTCATGAATACTTGATATTTCTTGTCATAAAATCTGTGGGAGAAAAATGAGTTATGTTGAATTATCTCAAGACAAAACTGTTATGTGGCTCCCCTTACATTTAGAAGAACAGGAAAATATCTGTTGTTATGGTCTTGCAGACACCTCCCATTTTTTGAACGCTTGCAGCACCCTGAGCAATGGATCAGCGTGTTTCACACCTATTAACATCAACCTACATGGGTTAACCTACATCTTCATTTTAGAGGTAAAGACATTTTCTCAGAGAGACATACCTAAAATATTTTAGCTAAAAATTGGCAGAGCTGGAATTCAAATGCAGGTCAGCCTGACTCCACTGTAACATCCTGAAAGGCCCAGGCTTAACCCAGGAGTTTTCATATCCCCAGCTTCAACACATATTTCATATATGACTAGTCCCAGGTTTGATGACTGGTTTAAAACCACAGCCTGACCAGGGAGGAGACTGAACATTTTAATCACCGTTTGTGGATTCCACACTACATTTCCTTCACAGACTGCTTTATCTGGGAGTGAAATTATGCGGAAACGTGACTCATGTCTTTCCTGTCGCTGTGCCCTGCCTTCCAGGCATCCCCCAGTGGACCTTGCCCTCCCTGTTCTCTCTGGCTGGCTCTTGGGGTGAGACCTGTTAGAACTGGTGTTGGCCATGAGTCAGATGGCAGCGCAGCCCAATCCCGAAAGGGATAATAGCAGCTGAGACAAATTATACTTGAAGACTTGCAACTTGGTCCTTACTCCTTCTGGTGGGAGAGCTGACGTGGGGTGAAGGTTGATGAAGTCAGTTTAGCACGTCTTATAGATTCTGGGGTGCTCTGAAAAGAAGTCCTCATGCGGGAATTTTGGTGCAAGCTCGTGAACTGGGGGAGAGGGATTGTAAGAGTAACCTTGGATACACACAGGGACTTGTACTTGTAACATGCAGAGCTAAACAGATTAATAGGAGTCTCCCATCCCCACTGAATTTCTATCTTAAGCATCCTGGTAACTCAAGAGCTATGATGGGGTCAAACACAGGAGTAACAGATGGACTCTTTCTGAAGGCTGCGTTTGAATCTCAGCTTGACCCATTACTAGTTGTGTGACCTTGGATATGTTACTTAACCTGTTTGTGCCTCAATTTCCCCATCTGTAAGTGGGAATAATTATAGGTTCTATCTCAATAGACTTGTTATGTGAATTAAATGAGGTAATACATGAAAAGCACTTAGAACAGTGCCTGGCTCATGGTAACTGATATCGGTGCTAGTTATGGTTATTACTTTTTAAAAAATTAATATTTCAATATTATCATCAATCTCGCTTTATGTAGGTTCTACGAAAACCTGCTCTCTGAGCTTCCAAATTTATTAATCACAGAATGATTTGGGGGACAGCAATTTTCTCCTTCTCTGATACTCTATGACAATTTAACGTTAAGCAATTTTTTCACTCTATGACATGGATTTCCTGACTTTGGAATCTCAAAACTGCTAGAAGGGAGCTCGGGTCAGTACCCCTTCTCATATACTTGGAGATATCTATTTTTTTTTTTTTTTGTGAGGAAGATTGGCCCTCGGCTAAACATCCGTGCCCATCTTCCTCTACTTCGTATGGGACGCCACCACAGCATGGCCTGACAAGCGGTGCGCCGGTCTGCGCCTGGGATCCGAACCTGCAAACCCCGGGCTGCTGAAGTGGAGTGCGCGAACTTAACTGCTACGCCCCCGGGCCAGCCCCAAAGAGATATCCAATTTTAATACCAACAACTTGCAGCACTTTGTTCACTGGCCTTATTCTTTGTACAGTGGGGAAAGCATCGGCTTTGCAGGCAGAGGAGCTTGGGTGACTTTGGACAACTTCTTTAAATGATTTGAGCCTCTGTTTTGCTGCTGTTAAGAGGGATGATAGCAGTACCTACATCATAGAGGCACTGAATTTTAGACAAGAAAATGAACATGAAATACTCTGTGAGCTGTCAGGTGCCTACACATGAGAACTAACATTGTTCTTATATCCTTCTGTTATCCTGAAATGCCAAGAGATGGATGGACTATATTTTTCCTTTTGCACACACAGGAAGCTGGCACATTTTTCCCTGTGCTTTTTATTTTCCAATTTTTTTATTGTGGTAAAATACACATAACATGAAATTTACCATTTTAGCCAGTTTTAAGTGTACAGTTCAGTGGCCTTAAGTATATTCACACTATTGTGCAACCATCACTACCTTTCATCCACAGAACTCTTTTCATCTTGTAAAACTAAGACTCTGTACCCATTAAACAATAACTCTCCTTTCTCCCCTGCCCCCACCCCTGGCAACCACCATTACAATTTCTGTCTCCATGAATCTGACTACTCTAGGTACCTCATATAAGTGGAATCATATAGTTTTCGTTGTTTTGTGACTGGCTTTTTTCATTTAGCATAATGTCCTCAAAGTTCATCCATGTTGTAGCATGTTTTTCCTTCCTTTTTAAGGCTGAATAATATTCTATTGTATGTATATATCCCCCCTTTTTCTTTGGGTGAGGAAGATTGGCCCTGAACTAACACCTGTTGCCAATCTTCCTCCTTTTGCTTGAGGAAGATTGTCGCTGAGCTAACATCTGTGCCAATCTTCCTGTTTTGTATGTGGGATGCCACCACAGCATGGCTTGATGAGTGGTCTGCGCCCGGGATCAAAACCCACGAACCCCAGGCCGCTGAGGCAGAGAGCACGAACTTAATCACTACACCACCAGGCTGGCCCCTATACCACTTTTCGTATATCCATTCATCCGTCAGTGGACACTTGGGTTGCTTCCACATTTTAGCTACTGTCAATCATGCTGATATGAACATGGGTATAACAAAAATCTCTTTGAGACCCTGATTTCAGTTCTTTTGATATATACCCAGAAGTAGAATTTCTGGATCATGTGGTAAATCTATTTACAACTTTTGAGGAACCACCATACTGTTTTCCATAGTAGCTGCACCATTTTACATTTCCACTGAAAGTGTGCAAGGGATCCAGTTTCTCCACATCCTTGTCAACACCTGTTATTTCCTGTTTTTTGATAGTAGCCATCCTAATGAGTGTAAGGTGGTATCTCATTGTAGTTTTGATCTGTATTTCCCTCCTGATTAGTGATGTTGAGCATCTTTTCATGTGCTTATTGGGCATTTGTATACATTCTTTTGAGAAATGTCTATTCCAGTCCTTTGCCCATTTTAGATTTGGGTTGTTTTTTTGTTGTTGTTGAGTTTAGAAGTTCTCTATCTATTCTGGATGTTAATCCTTTATCAGATATATGATATGAAAATATTTTCTCCCATCTGTAGGTTGCCTTTTACTCTGTTGATAGTGATTTTGAAAGCACAAAATTTTCCCGGGCACTTTTACGTGACTGCTCTAAGTTCACAGATAAATTTGGTCTGGGCATAAGGATGAGATTTGGGATCTTCCTAAAAAGTATATTGAACCAGTCACTAGATGACGCTCTCTGTGATCCTGACTTAAAATCAACTAAATCCCGTCTTCCAAATTCTCCCCACATTCAGTCAGGCGCTTCTGTGTGGCACAGACTTAAGTAAACGTCCCGTACAGATAATAATGTGATTTGAGGCAATGAGGAGATGTGTCACTCAGAAGGCAACAGGCTCTTTCTACTTGCGAATCTTTAGGCCGCCTGCAGGTGGTGCTAGAGCATCACGCGTGTCTGCCTCCACAGAGGGCTCGGGCTGACAGCAGGAAGCCAAGAATTCTTTTCAAAAGGAACACATGGGATTTACTGAAAGAACTTAAAAACAGACTTCTTTCTAAAGTCTTGGGAGGGTCAGCGAAGAGATGGAGAAGAATAATCTGTTTCTAATTTAAACAAAAGCGGAGCGCAGCTATCGCTCCAGGGCCGAGGGGTGCTCAGCTCTCTGTGTCCTGAGTAGAGCCCGCACGTGAGTGCTTGCTCCTCTGACCCGCATTTGGAGAGGGGTTTGTATTCAGAGGGTAGCAGTGGGAGACCTTTTTTAAGAAAATGAAAAGAAATGGGATTGCTTTTTCTGCAGGCATTTCCAACTCTGTTAAACACGATCATGCTTTGGTGGGTCAGCTCCTTTGCCTGTCTATGACACGATGTGGAATTTACTTTTATGTCTTAACCTCAGATACTTTCCTAATTATAAAGGGACTTGCACAACTGTCCCTTCATCTTTAAATTCACTACCAGTGACTTAACATAGATTGTCTTCTTCATTTCTCACCTGGATTATTGAAAACGCCTTCCATCTGGTCTCTCTGCTTCTACCCTTGGGCCCTTTAACTCATCCTCTAAGAAGGCTCTTTCTAAAATCTGCATCTGACCAGGTCCACCGCTGCCTAAAGTTCAGTCTCTCCATTCTGCCCGTAGGACTGAGTCTGAGGTCTTTAGCATGGCCTCAAATCTCCCTACAAAATAACCCCCTGTGCCCCCTACTTCCTGCCATTCTCCACCTCATTCATTGTATTTCACAATGATGTGTTGTGTATAGTTACCTAAACATACCATGCTGTTCCCACCTTTATAACTTTGCATATGTTTTTCTCTCTATGGAGAATGTCCTTCCCCGTCTTGGCCTGCCTGACAATTTCTTTTAAGCATTTAAAGTCAACTTAGACTTAACTTCTTCTCAAAAGCTCCTCCTCACCCCTACAGGGTCACATTCCTTTCTTCCTTGGGCTACTCTGTCACCTGGTAATACTTCTGTTGAAGAACTTACCCTTTTGTTCTGAAATGATCCATGTGCATAAATAAGATTGTGTCTTATTCCCCTCTAAATTCTGCCTAGAGGCTAATGAGCATAATGCCTTGAATATAGCAGGAGCTCAATAAATTAGTGTCCTGCGAATTGGGGTTAAAACACTGATTAAAGTCACGCTGTAGTCCTGAACGCTGAGTGATGCCAAGTGTGGAAGAACTGTGTCCTTTGACGGAAGATATAAGAGATTCCCATTTTAGAATAGAGAAGACCAGATTCACTGCTAATGACCTAGGGAAAGAGCACTGCTCTGAGAGTTCAGAAGTTCGGATCCCAGGCGCGCACCGACACACCGCTTCTCCGGCCATGCTGAGGCGGCGTCCCATATACAGCAACTAGAAGGATGTGCAACTATGACATACAACTATTTACTGGGGCTTTGGGGAGAAAAAGGGAAAAAAAAGCAGGAGGATGGGCAATAGATGTTAGCTCAGAGCCGGTCTTCCTCAGCAAAAAGAGGAGGATTAGCGTGGATGTTAGCTCAGGGCTGATCTTCCTCACACAAAAAAAAAGAAGTTTGTCCTGGACCTCCAGGTCTGGCCCTACCTAGCTCTGTGATCTTAGGGACCTGAAAGTGACTCTCTATGGGGCTTAGTTTTATCAACTATTAAATGAAAGGACTGGATTTGCTGACCTCCAAGGTTTATTCCAGCTCCGTAGCTGCATATGTTTGTATGTCCTCACTCCTTGGCATTCTGCATGTAAAAGATGTAAACTTACCTTTTATCCTCAAGTCTGGGAAACACAACCTTCCCAACTTTGCTCATTCTTGCCATTGCCTCCTGTTAAATGGAAAACAGAACACAGAGACCAGAGTTGGAAAGTTGAAAAACCAAAATGAGGCTTGCCACAGGCAAGAACATTCTAATTAGAATTCACTTCCCCTTAAGATATTCAGTTAGTCCATTTTTTTCAACTTATTTTCTCTGGTAATAGGAATAAATCCCAATGAACATTAAAAGTTACGTCGATGACCACACAGCCTGGGCTTAATAAATGGTTGCGTATTGAGGCCTCCAGGGCATAAACAACCCAGAAGGCGAAGCACTTTTGTGGTCGGCTGCAGGGACCTGTGAGAGGGAAGTACTGTCTCTCCTCATCTCCTGGACACAAGGGCTTAAGAAGTCAACATAAGCAGCCACTGAGCACACTGTCTACTTGATTCAAGAGGACAATAACTGAACGGAACCTACTTGGCACCTGTACTTGAGGATAACATATTTCAGACGTCTTCATTTCACCTTCAGGTCTTTTTCCAGCAGTCTCTGAAATTGTGAGTACAGATGTGAGACCCCTGGGCTGAGTCTAAATGACCTGAGTTCTGGAATGTGACTTCAGGACATTCTTGTCTTTACAATGGGGCACTCAGGCAGACGGCAGGTTGCAACGTCTGGGTGGATGTGGTCTGGTGGGCAAAGCATCAAGATCAATGGTAGGTTGTGTTGGCTCCATTATCTGAACGGAAGGGTTAGGTCTCCTTGGGTAGTCTCCCAGTGCTGGTAAGGCCATGGGAATGGAGTGAACCCAAACTTTGGTGTCTAACAGACTTAACTAGGGAGATTGTAAGCCACAGCATGACAAAGCTCCTCAGAATAGGCCCTATCTTAGGAATGGCTAGTGAACTCCTATGTTAAGGATGTAGTCATTCTGGGGTCCCATATGTACAACCTCCTATTCCACATATTTATGAATTACTCACTATGTACCAGAAACCCTGCTAGGGATCAGATTTACATAAGACATATTCTTTGTCCTGGAGATACTCACATACTCGCAGGAGAGGGAAAAATGTAAAAAGCTGACTACTGACTACCACACAGAATGTGAGAGCCCCTGAGTGTCCTCAAAACGTTCCAAAGTACCCCCTGCCCATCCCTGCCACCTTACCATGACATAGATATATCTATATTAATGTAACTTACCACTAATTCCTTTCTGGCATGCCACGTATTTACTGGTTTATGTGTTCCTTATCTGCCCTCTCCACTCCTTGCCCCAACCAGAACATGAGCGACATGACGCCATGTCTTTGTCTATTTACTGCTCAATCTCAGCACCTAGAATATTCATAAAATATACCGAGCCCCTTCTATGTGCCAAGCACAGCATTCAATATATACAGAATACAGAGATGAAGAAGGCATGGGTCCTTCCATCAAGGAGCTCACCACAGAATAGAAAAGACATTGACCGTGATCAAACTAGAGTGTGATAAACACTGGGCTAGAAGCAGATAAACTTCTTTCCAATAGTTATTCAAGGGTTAGGAAACTTGACACTTTTTCATCTCTAGTCACCTACATGTGTAAGTAAGGAGTTTCTATTCCTGCTAGGATGCTCTACCAACTCTTCCCCAAGGACCCGTGACCATTCTGAACCAGTTATCTGGTTTGCTAGCCCCTGACAGATTTCAAAGTACTCACTAGGAGATCAGAGATGCTGAGAGTAGCAAGCACTGACAGCAGAAAGAAATGGCAGCCTTAAGTAAGGAGGCGATTTTAAAAATTATGAAAAATTACTGAAAAGGAAACCATAGTGAAAAGATAAGAATTAAAAAAGGGCAGTCTGGAGGCCGGCCCCGTGGCGTAGCGGTTAAGTGTGCACGCTCTGCTGCTGGCGGCCCAGGTTCGGATCCCGGGCGCGCACCGACGCACGGTTTGTCAGGCCATGCTGTGGCGGCGTCCCATATAAAGTGGAGGAAGATGGGCACGGATGTTAGCTCAGCACCAGTCTTCCTCAGCAAAAAGAGGAGGATTGGCATGAATGTTAGCTCAGGGCTGATCTTCCTCAAAAAAAAAAAAAAAAGGGCAGTCTGGGGCCATTTTGTGAAGGGGTAAAGAGTCACACACGTCTTAGTGAGGTCGCTGCCATGCCACTGAACAAGGATATTTTAAGAGCTCTGCTCACCCCAACACGTATCAGAACATTTTCCTCCTCTGTAGACTAAGTTCTGACTCCCGTAAAGTGAGCCCCACGTCAACCCCCTTCACCAACTCTGCCACTCATGCTCCCATTTTGTTCTTGTTTCCTCCTTCAGAGTCGTGCTTGCTGTGCTTCTAGAGAGAACTCCGCTGCCTCTGAATCTTGAAAATGCCCCCCGGGAATCTCCTCTTAGTGGAGCTTAGGCCTCAGACTTGAGATGACATTCCGGGATGGCCTTTGAGGGTGGGATCCACGACACTCGTATTATAGAAGGTGCTCCACGAATGTCACTACCCTTCCCACTGTAACAGACGTGGACAAATGGCAGGCAGAAGGGAATTCTTCCTTCCTTTCTTCACATTACCTTTGCTTGTTTTTAAAATAAATTACTGAGAAACAAACACCAGCAATAGACATTTCAAAGGTTTTAAAGAGGTTATTTTGTTTCTCAAAAAGTACAGATTTGAACGTTAAAACTTAGCTCAAGTATCGTCTCCACTGAAAAGATTTTTTTCTAACTCATTCCCGCTGCCTGCCTCCCAGCTGGATTGATTGATTTGCTCCCACAGCACTTCATGCTCCCATCTCTCACAGCATTTATGACACGCCACTGCAATTCCTGTTAGCACATCAGCCTCCCCAACCAGACTCTGAGCTCCTTAAGGCAGGAACTGTTATAATTATTTCCACTGCCAAACTCAGCATCTGGTATATCGTACGCACTCAGGGAATGTCTACGGGATGAATGAACTTAAGGATCATATACGTGACAGAATCCTAAAATGGAAGTTTTGGCTGAGATCTAAAGATGACAGATATAAGATACCAAAGTGAGCTGGAAACAGACCACCCTGAAGAATTTGTAAAAAGGGAGGTTGAGGACCCATTAATCACCAATTAAACCTTTCATCCACATGGAAGGCCAGAAAAAGATGGCTTTTTAGGAGAGAGCTGTTGGTTTATTGTGCATCAGGCCTCCTTCCAGGGGAGGGGTGAGAGCAGTCTCCCCCTTCACAGGTCAAGAGAGCAAGGCTTCCCTGAGAACAACGGGGAGCTTGATGTGTGTCCTTGAGGCTGTGGGACACGGTGGATTGAGTGGGACTCCTGTCTGGAAGAGAAGGGCTGGCTGGCAGCTTGGCTGTAGAAGTGAAGGAGCAATTGCGCTGGGATCAGCCAGCGCTGCCAGAGTCTGTCGGACTCCAAAAGGCATGACTGTTTCCCATAGACCCTAGGTGGCCCCACATGTGAAAGAACTTCATGGGTTGTCTTAGATCCTGTTCAATATGGCCACCTAATGAGGCAGAGGGAGTCTGCATAAAGAAGCTTGAGAGGACCTACTGGATTTCCAAGGAATTAAGAGAAGAGTAAGCAATCTACAAGAGACATTAACAAGACAAGATATTGTGAGATGTTTTCAGAAGCATAGGGTCCTCAGAAAAATCCATGATAGAACCCAGCTATAAACACCTATTAGGCTAGGAGAGCATAAAGCCCATTTACGATAGTGCTACTCAGACAAGAACTTTCCTATACCCTTGACCTTACACCCTCCAACCACCTCAGAAGAATAAGAAAAAAGCTAATATGCTGGAGAGGAAGTAAATGAGGAAGAAAGAAGACTCTGATCACAGCAACCTCTTCTCATTTGCAGCAGACCCAGCTGGAGGAGTTGGGAGATGCCTAATCCCTAGAGGAAAATTGAAGTGAGGATTATTATATATTCTCTGATATTCTAATTTCTGAATTTTGGCCTTGTCTCACAACTTAAAGGGACCATAAAACTCGTATTATCTACGTGACTTTATACTTATTTAAGAAAGTAATGAAACTACCAGAAATTTTAACCAGGACAGAGAAAAACTAGCTCCACTGCACACATGTAGAGGGGTAGTGGGAGTAAAAAATACAGTTGTTCTCAGTTCCACCTCAAGAATTGTGTTTGTCCTAAACACAAGTTACATCTGCATGATAAACACTGGAAGAAAACATATTAAAATGTTAACAGGTTCAGGAGCATGGGTGATAATTTTTTCTCTTGTTAACTTGTTTTTTGTGTTTTCTAAATTGTCTACAGTGGCATATACTGATTTGATAATTGTAAGGAAAATAAAAATATACTGCATTCTAAAAAATATGTCATGCTTAGGGGCTGGGCTGGTGGCATGGTGGTTGAGTTTGCACACTCCACTTTGGCTGTCTGGGGTTCACAGGTTCAGATCCCGGGCATGGACCGACACACCGCTTGTCAAGCCATGTTGCGGCAGTGTCCCATATAAAGTAGAGGAAGGTAGGCACTGATGTTAGCCCAGGGCCAATCTTCCTCCCCCCCCAAAAAAAAAGCAAAAAGAAAGTCATGCTTATACAAGCAGTCAAAAAGACTGGTGCTCACTCTGCTCTCTCCTGGGAGGCAGGGCTCATTGTGGGTATTGGACACAATACTGAGAACGCCCAGAGAATCAGTGCTGTCATCAGAAACAGCACTGCTGAGTTTTCCAATTTCTCCAAATAATTAACATAAAACTGAAACCTCATGAGCCCACTGGCTGCAGTCAATCTGGAAATTACCACAGCATAACAATATGAATTTATTATGGAAATGCTGACACGTGCTAAATATAGTCCCCCCAAACAATATATTTCTGTTCAAGAGGGTTTATTTGAAGTTGACCTCGAAATTCATCCTTTTTGTCAGCAGGCAGGAGCTGGACAATCTTGGTTTGTGGCACGCTACCCTCTTTGTTTGAGAGTCTAGACAGCACAATGAATACAGTGACTTTTCTCTCTCCTTTTTGCCCACACAATGAAAGCTTTTTAAAAACAAAATATTTTATAAAATCGCATTTTAATCACTTCTTTTCTT